TTGTGGCATGGTTATCGTTACAATGTTATATATTTGTGGCATGGTTATCGTTACAATGTTATCTGTACCATTATGCTCGCCTATCAGGTGCTTGTGGCATGGTTATAGTTACAATGTTATATATATGTGGCATGGTTATCGTTACAATGTTATATATATGTTGCATGGTTATAGTTACAGTGTTATATATATGTGGCATGGTTATAGTTACAGTGTTATATATATGACCAGCATAATATCAAAAGTCGTCAAACTTGCTCTTATGACCTATCCCCCATAGTTCCCGTCGCTGCAGGAATGAAATGGGACACTAATAGAAAGTATTGATAGCATTATAGGAATACCATTACACTGAATTACCCCAAAGATAATTTCCGACCGTATTGTTACATGGTGACTTGAAGTATATAGAACAGCTCCACGGGAGATGAAAGTTATATAATATACATTGATTTAACCGAACATTTTAATAATTCCATACACAGATTTATTGATAAATAATCATTTTATATTCTAAAGCAGATTACACGTTATTACTGCGCTACGTTGGGCGACTGAAGGGTAAAGGTAGACCGTCAATGGTAAACACATTGTGGTAAATCGGATTCCGACACTAACGCTGTTACTTCTATACACGTAAAGTGTCCCAAGGAATTTCTCGTCGCCCGAACTATTCAGTGGTTCGAAGGGGCGTGTCTGATCATTCCCTGGATCGATTGTAGTTCAATATGTGGACATGTATAACATAAAATACCCGTTTCTGTATCCGTTATTCCCATTTCACTCTCAAAATGAAGTAATTATTTCGGCCATGTTGATTCACTACTCCGTCGGTATTGACTTGTTAATTTGATTTCGCTTTTCCGGCTGCTAAAATTTGTCGCTATACGGACCTGTTGCTTCCGTTGGACCTGTACAGATAAGATAATAAAATATGTAACTATTTTAAGTTCTAAAGATCTTTTACCCTCGCTAAATAGACTTGTTAAATAAAGGTCCAATGCTTAACCTATATGAACCACTTACTCTAGTTATATGAACTTGTGACCTAGTTAAATGGATCTACTACTTAATATTTCTGTATCCCCCAACTCCCGGTCCGGACCCATTACTTTATTTATATGGACCAGTTGCTCAAGCAATATATGTACCCGCTATCGATAAAACGTCAGAATAATTCGGACTACCGAACTAGGTACGCTGGCTACACGGACTCGTTACTAGAGGTAGGCCTGTATCACCACATTAGGACTCACATTGACCGACTACTTTAGATATATTAACTCTTTACAACACTTATGTCTATATTAACATGTTCCAATATTGTAAACATGTTACCTCAGGCATGCCTTTTTGATTACATTTATATGGATCTGTTACTTCTAGTGTATGGACCCATTGCTTAAATAGCATGGACCCATTTATCAAGTTGCATGGACCCATTGCTCAAGTTACATGGACTCATTGATCAAGTTATATGGACCCTTACTCCAGTTACAAGGGCTCGTTACATCTGATACATGGACCGATTACTCAAGTTATATGGACCTGTTACTCAAGTGATATGGTCCAGTTACTTCTAGTGTACGAACCCATTGCTCAAGTTACGTGGACCCATTACTCAAGGAACATGGACCCATTACTCAAACTAATTGGGACCCATTTATCAAGTTATATGAACCCATTAGTCAAATTATATGGACCCATTTATCAAGTTACATGGACCTATTTATCAAGTTATATGGACCTATTTATCAAGTTATATGTACCCTAACTCAATTATAAAGTCCTGTAACTTCTGGTTTATGAACCGATAACTCAAGTTATAAGAACCCGAATTCAACTCTTGTGGACCCATACTCAAGTTATGTGAATCCATTACTTATGTTACACTACTGTACTTTCGCGATAATAACGACTCCAAGAAATGTAATTTAAACATATTTTATTGCTTTTAAAATACCAAAATAACATCGAGCAAAAGTTCTAACAACATTGTTGAAACCCCCATTCAGATATATATATATTATAAATCAGAAAAACGATCCTTACGGACGAAGAAATATTATAAAAAGAAAAATTCTTAACAACGAGTCTTTAGTACTATATATATATATATACAACACTTACAACTTCGCGTGTCCAATGTATGATTGTGTAGAACCTCCGTGTTTGCCATTCGAATACAACAGTATACACAATAATCTATATATATTTTACTGTAACATATCTAAGATAGACCATTCTTTTGATGCCTTTCTTTAACTAAAAGGTGGGCGTGCTTTAGTGGCTCTATTTCAACCCGGTGAATACCGAGACATCTACAGATCTGACTGTCAGGCGAGATGGATGGGTCATCGATAGGCCGTCTAGGTTTAAATTCACGAGTCATCATTATTTGTATACATGAGGAATTTAAGCTTTGGATGTAGAAGGTATGCTTTACACCAGACCACCCTATTCCGTAATCTCGACACCTTTTAAGCGATTGATATGAGGATATCACCTTTGTGATCAATGTCCATGATTTACTAGACTATCATGGCCTTTTGTTGTAGACCGGTAGCGCCATGTTTGATGACGGGTGATCCTTATTCAAGTATTTACATATAAGCATGTATGTACATATATGAAGAAAAGAAAGAGCGACTAGACGGAATGTCATATATGTAAATTAACTATGTCACCTTGGCTGAATATATAATATATATAAGATGCAGTCGGCAGACTCGGATCCAGGATTGTTCAGGTAGAATGACGGCCATGTTTCAAATAAGAGAAGTAACAGAGTAGTCAGACTATTTTGGAAGGATATCAGAATAGAGGAAATCGTTTATCAAGAAAAGTAATACCATCACAATAAAAAAAATATTACAATTGTGTGCTGTAAATAAAATCGAATATTTAAGATAACTTGCATTTCGAATGATGTGTATTTTCGCGTAAATACCCTTAAAGGATTAATCTCTAATTCAAGTATCGTGGGAACAATGGTTCTCATACTGTGTGATGTAATGTCGCGAGTGATACGCGAATCAATGCCATAGCCCATTGGTACGAAAAGGTTCGTAAAAATAATTGAGCACAAAATAGAGATAATCTCCAGTAACCATCAATAGATAATCCTCCTTGGATAATTAAGACGCGTTTATGCCATGGAGGAGCAGTTGTTTATAACAATAATAATAAAAATTCGATGTTATTATATACCGCTTTATCACAACCTAGTTCGTAGGTCGTCTCAAAGCGGTTCACACATTATTATCCGTGGTTATAGGTTCTCGCATACAGCCGGTGCTGCCATTTCGGCGCTCACAGCTAGCATTCTACAATTATAGCACTGCTCAACCACGTACTCATTTACAACTGAGTAGACTGGAACAAGTGGAATAAAGTATCTTGCTCAAAGATACACCGCCGTGCCGTGACTCGAACCCGCAACCACCCGGTCACGAACCCGGCGTCCTACCACTCGACTACCGTGCCTCTACGGTAAGGTAATTATGTTTGACAAATAACCAATATAAAATGACTGTTTTATGCACTCAAATAAAACAGCAAAGAGATTTTGGACAAGACTCATCTTTGTGGGTTTGAAATGTAGCTTGCGTGTTGAATTTGATTATTTGCTTTAAAAGTCGTGATATAACATTATAAAAAAAAAGCAAAATCTCGTCCATCCTTGCCATTTATATTCACCCTTTGGACATATAAAATATCTTCTCTATGCATTTATATTCAGCCTTAAAACCATTCCATATCGTCCCTAGTCATTTATATGCAGGTTTCTGACCGATATCACATCTTCCCTTGCCTTTCAGACCAATACAATTCCCTTTCACATCGATACCATATCTGACCTTGCCTTTCACATCGATATCATATCTTACCTTGCCTTTCACATTGATACCATATCTGACCTTGCCTTTCACATCGATACCATATCTGACCTTGCCTTTCACATCGATATCATAATTTACCTTGCCTTTCACATCGATACCATATCTGACCTTGCCTTTCACATCGATATCATATCTTACAGTTGTGGGATCGCACAACGTTACACGGTGTGCGTGTGCGCACGATGTGTGAACGGTGTGTGCACGATGGGCGTACGATAAAATGCTGGACGATCATTGCTTGCGCACATCTGTGCGCACGATGGACGGACGTTGTGAGATAACAATCGTGGTTGGTGTAAATTGAGGAATGCCTTAACAATTTATACGGTTGCGTGTTTAAACATATGAACTTGATGTTTACGTATGTTTCTATATTCTAGCAACATCTGTAAACTTATCTGTCTGTCTATACATTCTTATATTTAGAAATTGTGTTTTCTGTGTTTTTAAACAAACTTAATCGACACATGTAAAATTACAACACAATCCCGTATACACGTATACAGGTAAACATAACCACTTTGTACATGTACCTGGACCGTAGTTTTCTCCCCGCCTCGGGCACTTACGTAACTCGTCGGGTAAGGCCGGGTGTGTGAAAATCCAGGTGAAGGGGAGCTATAGGCAAACGAATGCAAATAACAAATACTATTCATTACGGTCAAACGGTATCGCATATCAGCTCTGTGTGTCAGGCACTGGTCAGGTAAAACTCCGGACACTCATAAAATTGTTATTTACCTGTTCTGTTACCTTGGAGCCAAACCCATTCTTGACAGCCTAATGGTCGCTGTAATACTGTTTAACACGCACTGTGAAATTGTATGATCTTGATTATTGTGATGAGAAATTACAGATATATACACAGTGTACATTATCGCATACAAGCCTTCCGTATTTTTGTCATTCCGTAATTTTGATCTACAAATGATACCAAATCGCACAGTTGTGCGGAAAGAAGCGCACAACGGGACGAACGATTGCTAAATCGCACAGTTGTGAGCACCATGTGTGAACGATGTGCGGACGGTGTGTGAACGATGTATGCACGGTGTGCGCACGCTATTTTTGGTGCGTTGTGCGGTCCCACAACTGTACCTTGCCTCTCACATCGGTACCATATCTTCCATTGCCTTTCAGACCGACACCATATCTTCCCTTGCCTTTCAGACCGATACCATATCTTCCCTTGCCTTTCAGACCGACACCATACCTTCCCTTGCCTTTCAGACCGACACCATATCCTCCCTTGCCTTTCAGACCAACCCCATATCTTCCCTTGCCTTTCAGACCGACACTATATTCTCCCTTGCCTTTCAGACCAACACCATATCTTCCCTTGCCGTTCAGACCGACACCATATCCTCCCTTGCCTTTCAGACCAACACCATATCTTCCCTTGCCTTTCAGACCGACACCATATTCTCCCTTGCCTTTCAGACCAACACCATATCTTCCCTTGCCTTTCAGACCGATACCATATCTTCCCTTGCCTTTCACAGCGATACCATACCTCTCCTGCTTTTCAGAACAATATCATATCTGCAAAGGTAATGAAGGGCCATGCATAATCCTTGCATGTCATGCATTGTCAGCTTTAAGATTTCTTCACCATTTACCAACTATATGCATGGGCTATATTATATCTCCGCTAGCTATTCATAAGCAAGCTTACCAGTCAGGAATAATTGCAGATGACTAGTTTTTAGAGAAGTTCAGTAGTGCATCGTTTACCTCTAGATCAAACTCGAGGTCGAGCTACATAAACACTGCCTGTCGACAGCATGCATTGTACGTATATATAACCTTGCTATTTCCACCTACCTCTACAGTGCTTTTCTTATTGTGTAGATTTTAGTACGACTTAATTATTATAAATACCACCTGGGCGATGAAAGGGTTGCAATATGAACACTCAATAGCATACCGTGGTGATTGTCTGAACTTTATATTGGTTGTGGTTCTGACACTGAGTGTTTGATAAATTTAGGTGAGAATGTCTAGTGTTTCCTGTAGCCATATCCTCCCATTGAAGGCGGCTGTTCCTTTTACCATATTATCCTCTTTAAATCACCACGTTGGTGAAAGCCTCTCGGACATACTATTACACTAACAGTTGTGTATTTGTATCTGTTTAGAAAAAGTAAATAAGCAACAATCACTAAATGTTTTAATCATCAATGGAAACAATCAGAGATACTGCATACAGCTTTAACGTCGGGCAGATCTATACAATTTTGCAGTATTAGATAGGTCGTATTGAGTTTGTTAGACATAATCGGTAGTGTTACTGCATATACTGTAAAAATATCACGTCCGCAATTTTTATTTTTACATGATATAGTTATCATTTGCAAAGCTTAGCCAGCTGTACGTCTTTATATTTTGTCGCGAATTATACGAATCGATATATGTCTCTTCTATTTGCGACGTCAACATCATTTTGACGTCAAAGTTATCGTGGTTGAAATAAATGGTATGTTGAGTGACCAGACGCGTCTCTTCGTCAGTAAACATCGTGAAGACTAAACCTCGATATTGGTCTGTCATGCTGTCGTTATATGTATGACAATGGTATGGTGGTGGTGGTGGTGGTGGTGGGGGGNATTACTTAGAGATTATATAGTACATTGTCTTTGAAAAATGAGCTGTTCATAAGTATAGGTAGGGAATGCATGTCAAAATAATCTTTGTTATTAATTAGATTTTCAATTCAAAGGTGTTTTTTTACGATTCGTTCTAATAAATATTATTATTGCAATCGAGGTTACACAGAAAGACGTACATATAACCCAATATCCCTGGTTATCAATATACAGAACCGATATCATCGTGTTCGTCTCCTGGAGGAGGGAGATATACCGAGTACTCTATCCGACTAAAGTACACATCTTTCTGAAATCTTTAGAAGATATCCGGTAATAAGTACATTGTTTGTGCACCACCCTGTTATTCAATTAAACTTGAACTTCAGGGCAATTTGCGGAAGAATATTCACGTATTTTAGTGATCAAGTAATTTAAATGCGTGGGTTTCAGTGCAGTAGTGTAAATACATGTATAAATGTACTTCGGTGTATCACCGATGCAGTGAAACACGTTTTGTTCACGAGAATGGAGTTTCTAAAGTAGACATAAAAACACAAAGTCAACACAAAAAGGACGACTATACCACACTGTCAACACTAAAGGACAAAATCTAAACTGGAATTCCATACGAAAAGACAACTAAAAATAAGGAAATACCCATACAGAAGGAAAACATGCATAGCCATTCCCACCCACAAAACAAAAACTATGGAAACACCAATGATGGTTTTCCTGTTTTATGAAGATCATTGTTCCTGTTTTATGTAGATCATTGTTCCTGTTTTATGTAGATCATTGTTGACCTGTTTTATGTAGATCATTGTTCCTGTTTTAGGTAGATCATTGTTCCTGTTTTATGTAGATCATTGTTGCTGTTTTATGTAGATCATTGTTGACCTGTCATTGTTGACCTATCATTGTTGACCTGCCATTGTTGACCTATCATTGTTGACCTGTCATTGTTGACCTGTCATTGTTGACCTATCATTGTTGACCTGTCATTGTTGACCTGTCATTGTTGACCCATCATTGTTGACCCTTCATTGTTGACCTTTCACTGTTGACCTGTCACTGTTGACCTATCATTGTTGACCTGTCATTGTCGACCTATCATTGTTGACCTTTCATTGTTGACCTTTCATTGTTGACCTATCATTGTTGACCTAGCATTGTTGACCTGTCATTGTTGACCGGTCATTGTTGACCTATCATTGTTGACCTGTCACTGTTGACCCATTATTGTTGACCTTTCATTGTTTACCTGTCATTGTTGACCTGCCATTGTTGACCTGCCATTGTTGACCTATCATTGTTGACCTATCATTGTTGACCCATCATTGTTGACCCTTCATTGTTGACCCTTCATTGTTGACCTGTCATTGTTGACCTATCATTGTTGACCTGTCATTGTTGACATATCATTGTTGACCTATCATTCAACTATTATACATGACGACTGATTTGGCACTCAGTTTAACAAAATTCTATTATAAACTACCAAACGAAATATATCTGTAGGAAGATAATGTCGAAAGATTCCATAATTTAATCCCATCAAATGTTGAAACATGCAGCTCCATCAACAAATTATTTTTCTTTTCTCTTCATAATATGTATCACTGTCTGTTACTATGTTTGGAGAGGGCTTAAATAGGCTATGCCTGCTGCCCAATCCATTTGTCCTTTGACAATAAAATTTATTGAAATTGAAATTGAAAATGAAAGATTCTATAAAGACAGGAATACATTCTGTGTCTCTATTTAAAAGCATCTGGCACCACGCGAACAATAGGAGGACAGGGCTGACCACTGACACAAAACAAAAGATGACCACCACCCGCCAGCAATACATCTGCATATGTCCGAGTGTCCGGAGACAAAGCCTATCTATAAATCTAGATTTGGCGAAGGAAAGTTAAATTAGCTATCTTAAATAGATTTTCTTATTGTACTGACCGCGTCACCATGCCAGCACCTGTTTGTCCAATGCATGACCATTGCGCGTTCATTGTCTTGTCTCCCGGTCAGCTGCCGTATCGGACAGCTAGACACAGAGGACTTACATGGGGAATTTGACATCCGAGTTTAATTATTGACACTACATTGGTGCATGTTTTCAGAAAATTCAGTCATTTAAGTTTTATTTTTCTTCTCATAGATTCATATATTAGACCAAATGAAGCAAGGACGAAATATAACATGTTTCTAAAGCGTTGTGGTCAATCTAGACGGTTCCATTGGATACGATGACATGACGACAACGGACTGACAAATTAATTTACCATCGTCTCTTTTGTTGGTAGATGCTTTTATAGACCGAAGTTGGAGATTAATTATCTTGTTAGTATTAACCGTTTCTATAGCTGGAGGTACGGACATGATGCCAGGCGAGATATACGGAAGTCAGACAAAATCATCTTTGCTTCAGCGATGTATGATGAACAGAACGAGGCGGAACACGCATAATTTGTGGTGGGTACACAACACGAGATGATCACGTGGTATTGCCCTCCACGTGTCTTCGACAATAGGGGGCGTGGTTGTCGGTGTCTCACTATCCGGTGTCAAACAATCCATGCCATATTTACCATTGTCGGTAGTGCGAGCGTGAAACAGGTGACGGTTCCTAAATTAGACAAACCCGAAAGTGGCTCGTGTCTGACAAGTACTCCTACATTTCCCACTGGATATGGGTTGCTGCGAGACAATGTTCAAACTCAATCTTTTGGCAATAAATAATGTACGACACGTATCTATTTACGACACAACTATTGTGACGTAAAAGGGACTGTGCGTCTGCCACTTTGATTATGTTTTCAACCATGCATAATCATTATCTAAACTCATTATCAAAACTACAAGAATAGTCAGTAGAAATAATTATTTTTTGTGGTTAAGTACTTGTTAAATGTATTTGTCTTATTAGGCACATCAGTTGTATTTATAAAATGATTAAAATGAATGTCATACGTATTCTTTGTTTCCATCTGTTTAATCCCGAATAAAGTTGCCCAGATTATTCTTTAGTTTTATAAACAGCTGTCAGAAAGGATAAGAAAGTATAGCTACTCAACAAGATAGCGGCAAGTCCACACAACAGAAAACAACGCAGGAATAAAATCGTATACGAACAATTCACTTCGTAGCGGTAGGCCATAAACCGTAGATTATCCTAAATAATTATAAATTAATTAAAACAAAAACTTTGCAAAAGAGACAAATTCATTTTTGTATGATTATCTGGAACACGGACCAAATCCATTAAAGGATCAAAATGCAGGTTCTAAAATCCATGATGGTATGCTAGACCCTTCACTCATAACCGCAGTGAGCATGCTAGGATTATGTCTGAACGGATCAGTATGGCTTGTCAAATGTGTTGAAGAGATGTATTTCAATCATTGTATTTACGTCCATAACAATAAAGAATTTTCTTTTTCTTCATTCTGGTTGGCTACTTATGGTTCATACTGTATCTTAAACAAAACCTGTATAACAGATTGTTTGGTTACCTATTCCGTCAGGCGACATACGTATTGCAACTCGTTTGTAATAGTTGTTGATGTTATTGGTTTATAATATAATTTAGGTAGGTTTATCTAAGGGTTGTGCAATGGAAATGAATAAATAAATTAACACTACCTTAATAAAATAAAGCTCAATTTATCAAGTAACAGTAATTTTATGAAAAAGAATGAACTTTAAATCATAACTTGTTTTATGATACAGTCACTTTGTAAAGTATTACTAACTTTTTAATATATTGTAACGGTGTAAGGTAGTATTAGCTCTATAGAAATAATGTGACGTACAATGTATATGCAGCTGATGTTTTTACAAATAGAATTTTTTCAACAAAATAATTTAATCGTTTATCCCCCAAAAGATGTAATAGTCACCTAAATTTTAACCCCCTGGCCGGTCATATTC